GAAAACATTCTCTCAGGCTTTCACAGAGAGCACATTGGCCAAGCAATGGCCGTGACTCATCCACATGGCTGACACTGACAAAGGTTCTACAATCTGAGGTGCAGGATCTCAGGAAAAATCCCGAGGGGATTTCACTGACCTTATCAGACCCAAAAGCTACAACTCTTGTTGTATAAGTCCTGCTTTACCTTGGTCTTAACCATCCAGCAGAAAAGTATAAAAACGAAATATAAGAAGTAAAGTCATGCTGTTATGTTGAGCTGTAGGGGACTCAGGTCAACAATTTCTGACATTGCCAGTCAGGCGGAAGACCCAATACTACTACGGGCTATTGGACTCTTTTAGAATATTTTGCTGAGTTTACACACCTATAATATTCAAATAACAGAACTTAACAAAAAGGGGGGGATACAGATGAATGTCCATTTTGTATCTGTGTATTGAAAATGGTTAGGATGGACATATAGCTACATTCTCTTAATGAATAGAGGGATTTGTTCTAATGGTGTTTGTAGATAGGATGTCATGTCCACATCTTGTACAGCAATTAACCACCAGGAAGAATGTACGCAATGTGTTAATTATTGAAACTATCCTACCAATTTGGTTTGAAACTGTCTCATTGCTATTTGTTTCTCAATAAAATTATGGAAAAAAATTTAAAAAAAAGAAAATACAAATGTGACTTGAAAATACAAATCTGAAACTTGTATATTAAAAAAAAATAATAGTAACTAAAGGGCTGGGGCTGTGGCACAGTGGCAGAGCACCTGTATAGCAGGCCAAGGCTCAGGGTTAATGCCAGCATCCCAAGAGGAAAATAAAAAGACAAGGAGATCTGATGGGGGGCTGGGGAGATGGCTCAGTAGAATAAGCACTTCCTTGGCAAGTGCAAGGACCTGAGCTCAATCCCCGGTTCTGCCAAAAAAAAAAAAAAAGGAGATCTGATGGCTCAGCAGGTTTTGTTATATTATTCTTTCTTCTTTTATGAATATTGCAATTGGTTTTTCACGATAAAAAGTCTTAAAAATGGAAAGAAAAATAAAATAATTTAGAATTTTTATAAAGAAGCAAATCTACCACTTGCAAAGTTTACCTGGAAAAAAAACAAACAACCCAGAGAATCTTTCCTCCCAGCTCTCTGCCACCCCAAATAAAAGCTGAGGAACTCACAGGTATGCCACAGTGCAGCGCCGGTTTCTCAACAGAGAGCAGTGCCGAAATTTGATGGTTGGGATCAAGTCACTTCGTCCACCTGACTTGGCGTCATTCCTTACAAGGGCATTTAAAAAGCACAACAGCAAATGATGCACACTTCAGCATAAGATTTCAAAGCACAAAACTACCACCCTACATGCTTGTTTTTGTCTATTTAGGGTTACCACCAGTTACCCAAAGCAAACAGCGACCACCTCTGCTGGCATTAATATGTTACAAGAGGGCTGGTGAGATGGCTCAGTGGTCTAAAGCACCTACTTAGAACAAGCTTAGCAAAGCAAAGGGACCACGTTTCAATCCTCCTGCACCACATGCCAGCCAGCCCCGCTCCCTGGTGGGCTGAGCTGGCCACACACACACACACACACACACACATAAATAAATAAATAAATAAATAAAAATATGTTACAAGATAAAAAGTCAAAAGCTAAATAACCTGCCTAAAATCACACTATTAGATACATTTTGTTTAGCCATTTGGCACTTAGCACTTTTTGCACGCTGACGCACCTCTGTTGGTTCTAAGAGATAAAACACTATTTGTTCTCTTTCTGGAATCCCTTTACCACGCTGGCATAAGAGATAACCCTAACAGTATTCTTCAGAAAGGTGCTTGTTTCCTATCATGTTCTTTGAGGTAACATGTCCCTTTTGGTAGTTCTTCCAAGTCCTTATTAAAAGAAAGTAAATTAAAATGGAATCAAAATGGTCCTTCATTCCTCTAAAAACATTTATTGTCAGGCATTCAGGAAGCTGAGGCAGGAAGATCGCCACAAGCTCAAAGCCAGTCTGAACTACAGAAAAAGATCCTCTTTCAAACAAACAAATAAAAATATCTGTTGATCTCCAACTATGTACATTCGTCAGACTTCAGTGTTCACATAAGAGTGGAAAAAAATTTTGTTTGTTGAGGCAGGGTTTCACCATGTTTCAGGCTGGCCTTGAATTCACTATGTAGTCCAGGCTGGCTTTAAACTCAGTGATCCTCCTGCCTCAGCCTCCTGGGTGCTAGGATTATAGGTATATGCCACCACACCCAGCCGAAACTGTTGCTTTCCCTATAAAAATACATCTCATTATAGAAAAGAATTACATTTTACAACCAGATGTACAGAATGAATAAGAATTTACTTTGAGGAGCCGGGGAGATGGCTCAGTAGAATAAGTGTTTGCCTGGCAAGCACAAGCGCCTGAGTTCAATCCCCAGTTCCATCAAAAAAAAAAAAAAAGAAAAAAAAACAGAATTTATTTTGAGAGGGCCGGCCTAATAGCTCGGTGGACTAAATCGCCTGCTTAGGCAGAACGCAGCATCCCTGGCATGCTGTGCCGCCCTGCACACAGAGCCCAGACTGAGACTGGGCATGGTGGTGTGCCAGTAACCCCAGCACTTGGGAGGCTAAAAACAGGAGGATCACCATGAGTCTGGTCTATGTAGTGAGACCCTGTAGACCCCGTAGACCCTGTCCTAAATACAGAAAGAAAAAAAAAATTACTTTGAGGTTTGAAAAGGAACCAGATAAATGAAAAGATTCATTTGTGTAGTACCTGCTGTATGTCAGGTACTCTGATAGGCCTTAGAAATACAATACTGTACAGGTAAAATAAATTAGTGTGTGGCACATGGCTATAATCCCAGCACTCTAGGAGGCTGAGTCTGGAGGATCCCAAGTTTGAAGCCAGTCTGGACAACTCTGCAAGACACTGTCTCAAAATAAAATTAAAAATAAAAAGGACATGAGATATAGCTCAGCAACAGAATGCCACCTACAACTATATTTGCTGAGCCCCAGAAAGGCCCTGGGTTTAATCCCCAGTACTGGGTAGAAGGGAGTGGCAAAGAAAATACAGGTAAAATAGATCTACTTGTATCACACAGGCAAGATCAGGTGAGTTTTCTGTTTTGTTTTTGTGATGCTAGAGACCAAACCTAAGCAGAATGGGTCAAAAGCAGGGCCTTGCTCATACTAGCACACCCTCTCCTGCTAAGCTGTGCCCTTACCCCCAGGATCTGTTCCACACCTTCTGCCACCCTGAGAAGGTCAGACCTAGTCTCCACATTGCTCACAATGTCCTCTGGGTTATAAGGAAGGAGTTCAGAAAGCCAGGCCGGCAGAGCACACGCATGCTGTAAGCTCTACGTGAGCTGAGGTCGGAGGATCGCTGTGAGTTTAAGGCCACCCTGGGCTACATATGAGTTGGAGGCCAGCTTGGGCTATACACATAAGAAGACACTGTTTCAAAAAACAATAGATTAAAAAAATAAAAAAGGAAAAAGTATAAGATACAACTGACTTAATATCAGTCCTATATAAAGTACATAAGAACTTCTCTTAAAAATTCACTTTTAGGGCCAGTCAGCTAGTTCAGCAGACTACAGAGCCTGCTTAGGCAGAACGCAGCAGTCAGGGTTTGACCCTGGTGTGCCATGCCAGCCTCATCCCCAGGGTGCGCTGAGACAGAGACTGAGACTGGGCGTGGTGACGCACGCCTGTAATCCCAGGCTTGCTCTTGGAGAGGCTGAACATAGGCAGATCGCTATGAGTCTCATCTATGTAGTGAGACCATGTACTAAATACAAAAATAAATTACACTTAGCCTGGGGTGGTGGCACAGGCCCATATGTAATCCCAGCACTCCTACAGGAGACTGCAAGGGCCCAGAGATAGGAATCTGGGCTGTGTCACTTACCACAGGAATACTGAGGCCATCTGTTGGCCCTACCTGCTCGGCCTCTGCTGCATCAGCAAACAACTGAGAGGCTCTGACCAGACTCTGTGTGCCTTGCACACCTGTGTTGCAAGCTGCAGGGGCTTTGTTCTCAGGCCCTCTGCAAAGACCTTTGTGTCATCCACTATCAGACGCACTACCTAGGAAACGCATTCTTCATCTCGGGCACCCCACAGATCTTACCAGTGTGCTCTTGACTTCTACAGCCCAGTAACTCCGAAACCCTCTCTCCAGGTGTCCACCCCGACAGCCTCAGGAGTTCCTCTCTAGGCTGCGATCCTGACCTCTGATGTGGCACACAGCACTCCTCTGGGGCTCACTGCACTAAGTCACTGGGCCCTGGGCAGTTTGCCAGCTTCCCCACCGCACCCATGTCTACGCTCGCGCTGAGTGAGGGAGCTGGGACACACTCCTGATTGCAAAGCAGCAGCTGTTTCTGACAGGAGTTCTAGTGAGGCACACTAGACCATGAGAAGTCACAAAGCTCCTGCTAAGTTTTCAAACTGCCCACTTCCCTCAGACAAATGCAAGAAGGCATCCATGAAAGAAAATGAACTGGAAGTGTATTTTTACTTTGTTAGGGTTTGAACTGACTCATAGGTCATCTTTAGAGCTCCTTAATTCTTCTCAACACGTGTTGGTCAAATCATAAACATGCATTAAGCATTTCCCACATCAGCACTGTTTCAGCACTAAATATAAAGCAATAACCAGCGGAGTCCTCTAAGTTCTCGCCCTGTGCCAATTTGTACAGCTAGCCTATGATTAGGCTCAGAGAATTAAAAAGTTCCATAGATTAATGCAAGGTTATCTGATTTTAACATCTTATTTCTGAAATAGTTTTAAAATAGCTATCTCATCAAAACTTACACATCAGGGGTGGGTAAGATAGCTCAGTGGACTAAAGTGCCTGCATAGGCAAGCTTAGGCAAGCACAGGGACCAAGGTTCAATCCCTGGCACTACACGCCATGCCTCCACCCCACTCACAGGGCAGGCTGAGCTGGCCACCAGTCTGGGTGTGGTGGCGCACACCTATAATCCCAGCGCTGGGGCGGCTGAAAACAGGAGGATCACTATGAGTTCAAGTTGTGTAGTGAGATCCTGTAAAAAAAAAAAAAACTTACACATCAGACTGGTTTTGTTCATATAAAGCTTTCATTTCCTCCAGAACTTGTCTGATTCCATCCTCCTAAAACACATAAACTGATATTAATACACATTCATTCACTTTCCCCAATTCTGTGACAATATTCTATTTGCACTATATTTTTCATTTTTTTGCAGATGTGTTTAGTAAAGGGTCTACAAGGTCTCACTACAGAGATTGGACGTGTAGTGATCCTCTTGTTTTCAACCTCCCAAGCTCTGAGATTACAGGTGCATGCCACCATGCCCAGTGTCAATCACTGCGGTCCCTGCCTGCATCTGCCTAAGCAGATACTTTAATTTGCTGAGCTATCTGGCTGGCCTTTTTATCTTTGATTTGCACACCTTAGAAAAAAAGCAATGGCCCTTCCACACTACTAGGGTGGCTATGACATGTTGAAAAGGAGTAAAAATGGCAGAGCATTGTGGAAAACCATCCAGTGGTCCTTCAGAAAGGTTAACACAGAATTACCGTATGATTCAGCAATCTCACTCTTAGAACTAAAAACATATGTTCACACAAAAAACTTGTACATAAATGTACTTAGCAGCATTATTCAAAATAGTCAAACAGTGGAAACAAGCCAAGCAATGGTGGCATACATCTGTAATCCCAGCACTTGGAAGCAGAGTCAGGACCCTTGCAAGTTTGAGACCAGCCTGGACTACAAAGTGAGCTCAAGGCCAACCTGAACTGCATAGTGAGACCCTGTCTCAAAAAGACAAAATAATATAAAATAAAGAAATATGGGGCTGGTGAGATGGCTCAGTGGTCTACAGCACCTACTTAGAACAAGCTCAGCAGAGCACAGGGACCGCGGTTCAATCCCCCAGCACCACATGCCAGCCAGCCCCGCCCCCTGGTGGACTGAGCTGGCCATACACACACACACACACACACACACACACACACACACAAATAAATAAAATTAAAAAAAAAAAAAAGAAAAAAGAAATAACCACTGGGAGTATACACAATTTCAAAGCATACATAATTTCAAAGCATACATAATCTCAAATCCATTTTGTGAGCAGAAGAGGCTCAAAATAGGAGTGTGGACTGGTCCAGCTGCTGTGGAGATCCCTCAAAACACTAAAACTAGGGGCCGAGGAGATAGCTCAGTAGAGTAAGCACTTGCCTGGCAAGTGCAAGGGCCTGAGTTCTATCCCTGGTTCCGCAAAACAAAACAACTGAAACTAGAGGTTCCATTCAACCCAGCTATTCCCCTTCTTGGTATCTTCTTAAAAGAATTAAAAGCACCATGTCACGGTGACACAAACACTCAGATTTATAGCAGCACGCTCTGTAATAGCTAAATCTTGGAAACAGCCCAAATGCCCTTCAACCGATGAATGGATAAAGAAGACGTAGGGTTTTTATACAATGAAGAACTACTCTGCCATACAGCAGGAATAGCTTAAGATATACCCAGCTAATTGGACACACCTTGAGGCCATATGCCTAAGTGAAATACGCTGGACACATACGTGTAAAATACTGCATTTTTTCTCTGGTTTGAGAAACCAAAAGTATAAATAAAAATTCAAATGTATAACATACTGTGAAATAGGAAGAAAATGTTTAAGCGGGAAGGGGAACAAGGGAAGGGAGGGAGAAAGAAAGGGACAAGGGAAAAAAAAGACAATAGAAGGAAAAAAGGGAAACAAAGCTTTTGTGACTAAGGAAGGGAAAAGGCATTGAAGGGAGGGAACGGAGGACAAAAAAGAGGCACCAAGATAGATCATCGACCAGATGTGTAGCTAAAATGTACCAATAAAGTTAATTAAAAATAAAAAAGTCAGGCGTGGTGGGCACACCTGTCATCCCAGCACTTGAGAGGCCGAAGCAGGAGGAGCTGCGAGCTCCAGGGTAGGCTCGGTTACATGGCGAATTCCAGGCTGGCCTGCACTATATAGGGAAGCACTGGCTCAAAATAAAAAAAACAATGGACCAAACAAACAAAAAGACTAAGGAGAAAGCAGTGACGGACATGGGAATTTTCATACTATCCACTTTGTAATACATCTTAAAAACATTTTCTGCTGTAATAATAAAACATAGATTCATTAAGCGTTACACAGTAGCTCTTTCAACAAATAGAAAAAGCAACACTATCCACTTTTCCCTTTGTCTTACAGTACTGGGGTTATAGGCTGTTGTATCCTTAGGCGCGCCGAGTCCAGAGTCAACCTTAGGTGGGTGTGGTGGCATTCGCCTGTCACCCCAGCGCGGCTCACCCTCTCTGCCCCGCCCCGCCCCGCTCAGACCCCGCCCCCGCTGCCCCAGCTCTCCTGGCCCCGCCCCCAAACCAGACCACGCCCCGTGCTCTCCATGCCGGCCCCGCCCCCTCACGTTGAAAGCAGGAAGCTGCCCTTCGGGGGCGCGGTGCAGCTCTCGAACCAGCTCCATAGCTTTTTCACAAAACATAGCGGATGCACCCTGCTCCTGTGACCTCTTCCACCGCCAGTTCTCTCGCGGAACAGTCACTCGGCTCTCGGCTGCGGGGCTCGCGTTCCCGTGCCCTACAATTCCAGCTTTTTGTCTCCGCCTTTGCTCTTTGCTTTGGCGCCAAAAGCATCCAGCCAATAGGAGCTCAGTACGGGACCTTCCAGCCTACGGCGGCCGCAAAAGAACATTTATCCCCACAATGAAACGGTATTATTGCAAGGGGTGTAGCGAAGTGGCCGTGGCCGTCGTGGCGTAAAGATTTGAGAGTGTGCATCTGGCCGTCTGTGAGCCTAGGCTGAGTCAAGAGGTGCGGGCGACTTGTACACCCTGCAGCTTTTTTCGTTTTGTTTTTTGCATTGATCCATTCATTTCCTGAGGTCGAAGGGAAACGAGGTTAAAACAAGGTCATGATGCCGTGTCATGCAGGGAGAAGGTTAACTGTTTAATCGGGTGCTTAAGATATGGGTGGAACTGCGACCTAGGAGATAAGAATTTGCTGTGTAGTCGAGGCAAGCTTTGAACTAGTTGTATAACCCGGCTTCTCCGACCTCAGTCGCTAGAGGCTTGGATTATAGGTTTGTGTCAATGTTGTAGGCAGCCCAGTTAGGTAGAAATATAGGCAGTCAGACAGGGCTAGGCTCTCAAAGGAAACAGCACGGAAGATACCTTGTCACTATAAGAGAGACAGTGGGGCCGGGCCAAATAGCTCAGCGGATTAAAGGGCCGGGGCTTCGATCCCCGAGGCTGTAAACAGGCAGCTTACTGAGTCCGATCTGGTAGTGAGACCCTGAACACCCTCTGGACCCTTCCCTAAAAAATACGAGAGAGAGAGAGAGAGAGAGAGAGAGAGAGAGAGAGAGAATGCTCCCGCTGGGGGCCAGACCTAAAGACTGAAGATGGCTTTCCTCCCGAATGATAAGCGTCTGGGATTGATCATCACCTTGAGGAAGCCAGGAAGAGTCACCAATCGCAATCGCATGTGACCAGCTACTGGATAAACTGTTCCATATTTATGCCCACTTGCTATGTGACTGGCTTCCCCATTTGGTCCTGGATTTAATCAGTTTTGCCTGAGCAATGGTGCTTGTAACCTTATTGGTTGACCATAGTTTTTTCCCACCTCATGCCCACCCAAGCGTCTTCCCATGTTCTCCACCTTAGGCCGCCTCATCACATAGTTTTGCTCTATAAAAATACCTACAAGAAAGAGTTTCCTGGGTAACCAGCTCGGGTCCCCCTTCTGTCTCTCGCTGGGACAGAAGCTTTCTTTCCCCAGTAAATATTCTGCTCTTAACCTCTATTTGTTGCTAAAATTCATTCTTTGGTTTTAGAGAACACAAACTCATCCCAGGTACTTTCGGGTTGGGAGTTTCATTCCCCTATATCATTACCACACTGGGCTAACAGCGGATATGTATTGGGGTATGATAAGAAAACTGCAGTTGGGTAACTTGCCCAGGGTCACAGATTATAAACAGAATGAGCTCTGTACTAGAGCTTTCCACTTTCAGCCCTAGAGTGCCACTCTGATTTTATAATTATCATTTAAAAACATTCGTCGAGGGCTGAGGAGATAGCGCAGTGCCACAAGTGCCTGCCTGGCAAGCGCAAGGTCAGGTCCAAAATAAATAAGGAAATAAAAACATTCATTGCACGGAATGGTAGAACATGCCTACACAGCGCTAGGGAGGCTGAGACAGGAGGATCGCTGTGAGTTTTATGCCAGCCTAAGGCCAACCTGCATTACATAGTGAGACCCTGTATTGAAAAACAAGAAGTTGTGGGGTCCTCTTTGTTCCTGCTGTGAGTGGCTTACAGTTAGGAAACCTGGATGTGGGAACTGCTGATAGCAAGATGACTTCAGGAAATGTCAAAATTGGGCAGCTTGCCCTCAATTTTAAAGCCACAGCTGTGGGCAACCCATTCAGGACCCATCAATTCTCTCAGGAGCTATTCCTATCCCTATTCCTCCCCACCTCCATTTCCTATTTCTATTCTTATTCCCCATTGCTTTTTTTTTTTTTTTTTTTTTTTTTTTTTTTCGAAGCTTTATTGATAAACATATAGCAATGAGACAGTTTTTGGTGCAACTGGGGATTGAACTCAGGCTCTTGCGCCTGTGAGTCAAGCGCTTATTCTACTGAGCTATCTCCCTGCTCCCCCATTGCTTTTCTCCAATAAATTTTCTTGCACTTAACCGCCAATAAAAATAAGTATAATAAAACCACAGCTGTTATGCTAGTCAAACAGTTCACATCCTGTCTGACCACAAAGGAAAATGGGTTGTGTTCTTCTGTTACCCCCTTGACTTCACTTTTCTGTACCCTACAGAGATCATTGCTTTCAGTGACAGGGCAGAAGAATTTGTGTGTGTGTGTGTGTGTGTGTGTGTGTGTGTGTGTATTTTAGTACAGGGTCTACAGGTTCTCACTACACAGATCAGACTTGTAATGATCTGCCTGTGTTCAGCCTCCCAAGAGCTGGGATTACAGACGCGTGTCACCACGCGCAGTCTCAATCCCGGTGTCAGCGCAGCCCAGAGGCAAGGCCCTGGAATCCAATCGAACCCCAGCCGCTGTGCTCTGCCTAAGCAGGTGCTTTAGTCTGCTGAGCTATTTGGGCAGTCCTGAATTTAAGAAATTTTACAGCCAAGTAATAGGTGCTTCTGTGGATTCTTATTTCTGTCATTGGCATAGAGCAACCACCCATGACAACACCCATGACCTTACTGTTATAAGGTTTGAAGATTCCTGGCAACTGACAAAGATCTGCCTTTGTAACAGAGCAACATTGTTTCTCAGGTTAGTGGCAACCAATCCAATACTGGTTTCACCGGGGCCTATGAACATTCTCTTGGTGTCAGGTCCCAAGCACACCATTATTTAGGACTAAGGGGTCCTGGAGGCTGACGAAGGCATCTCATTCAGGGACCTCTATCATTGGTAAGAAGATCCTTCAGCAGATCACAGCCAGCGACCTTCCCTTTGGCCACTCTGTAGATGAGACTGAGACTGAACCGGGCCTCCAGTTCACCGAAAAACATGGGGAAATGTGCCCTTTCTGTAATATTTTTTTCATGTCTTCAACAGAAGATGTGGTGTGGGCCAATGCATGCCTTTCCTCCGGCGGCTGGGGAAACCATCTCTTTTCACTGGCAGTAATGGCCTGAGTTGCCTTGGTGGGGTAAACGATCTGAGGATGTATGCAGGACCAGGAGCGGGGCTCAGCCCTTTCATTGATCTTTTGTCGTATGTATTACAGTTTCTGAATCAATCAATAAGTAAATAAACATCTCTGGGGCCTTGGGGTCAGTGGTAGAGCACCTCCTAGCAAGGAACTCCCTGAGTTGGATCCCCAGAACAGGAAAAAAAAATAATGGAATAAGGGGGGTGTGGTGTGTGAATTTACTAGATTACCACAGCTTCAATATATATATATTTTTTTTTCGGTACCAGGGATTGAACACAGGACCCTGTGCTTGCCAGGCAAGCGCTTATTCTACTGAGCCATCTCCCTGGCCCACAGTAAATGTTTTATTGACAAGATGATATTGGAAAGTTTGCTAACCATATAGAGACAAAGATAGGAATCACTGACACAGAACCAATTTAGTTCATTTGGCTATTAGTTGAAAAGCAGTAATATTCTCTTTTGGGGCTAGAGACCAAACACCCAGGACCTAAGCAAGTAATAGCAATTTCCAAAAACCAGTATTGGATTTGTAGCCACTAACCTGAGAAACAATGTTGCTCTGTTAGAAAGGCAGATCTTTGTCAGTTGCCAGGAATCTTCAAACTGACAGAAACGTTGACCTTATAAAAACAATTTCTGGAAGAAAAAAAAAAAGTAATTTCTAAATCTGACCTGAAGGTGCAGCCTGTAATCCCAGCATCCAGGAGGCTAAGGCTCAAGAGAAGGTGTGAGTTTAGTGCCTGCCTAGCATGTACAAGGCCCTAAATTCAATCTCTAGTGCCTCAAAAAAGGGAGAAAAAAAGTAGTAAGACACTCTCAAAGAAACAAACAAACAAAACAAAGTTACATTGAAAGAGAGGGGAATAAGAAAAAAGCAGCCCCCAGGTATGTCATGTAGAGGTACAAATTCCTTATAACAAATGTTATCATTATATCTAAAATTTAAAAAACTTTGGAATAATTAAGGAAGCATATCTCTTGCTCATAAGTATTTGTAAAATTAATGCTAGTGTATTAAAGAAAACCAGAACTATAAAACTTGATGTTTAAAAATGCCCTATATTGGACCTGTAACAAAAGAACAACAACTGTAACCTCATCTTGCTAAAAAGCTTTTGATCTGAGCATGGTGGTACACACCTATAATCCCAGTGCAGGGGGACTGCTGTGAGTTCAAGGCCAGCCGGGACTACGTAGTAAGTGTGAGACCAGTCAGAACTACAAAACAAGAGCCTATCTCAAAAAAGAAAAGAAAAAAAAGAAAAAGAAAAAAGAAAAGAAAAACAAAGCAAAGAAAAAGGGGCTGGAGAGATAACTCAGTAAAATAAGTGCTTCCTTGACGAGCACAAGGGCCTGAGTTCAGTCCCTGGTTCTGCTAAAAAAAAAAAAAAAAA